TTATGTCGCGCACGTACATACCAGAAATATATAAAATAAAATACAACAGTAGGTGGCAGTATTAGAACACATTTTGAGTAAGAGCATCAATGACAATAACGTTTAACACCCCCACTTGCTCGTAACTCATTTGTTAGTCCTGAAAACATATAAAACATAAGGTCTTTCTTTTTACTTTACCAGAAATGAAAATGTCTCTGAATATTTATGTTCCAAACATGCCCTGAGTACATTTTCTCAGTTTCAACTTAGTAGCAGGTTTTGTCATCAAATCTGCAATCATTATATCAGTTGGACAGTACTCGAGCACTATTTTTCCAGTGTTTACAATTCCTCTAATAAAATGATACTTAATATCAATATGTTTGCGTCTTTGCCTGTTCACTGGGTTCTTAGCAAGTGCAATAGTACCTTGGTTGTCTTCATACACTTTTGTTTGTACATACTCATAATAATCTATGCCTTTCAGAAGTTGCTCTAAATAGAGACATTCTTGTATAGCTGATGCTAATGGTATGTACTCTGCCTCGCAGGTAGACAATGCCACTGTTGGTTGTTTCTTTGTCTTCCAATAGATCAAATAACTTTCATCATTTAAACTAGCACAATATCCTGATGTGCTTCTTCTATCAGTTGAATCTGATGCCCAATCGGCATCACAGAAGATTTTTAATCTGAGATTTTATGAGTCATTTCCTTTAAAACTCAACTCTTTTTCTGCTGTACCCTTAAGATATTGGAAAACATGTTTTACTGTATTCCAGTGTTCTATTGTTGGTTCAGTAAATTATTGAGAAAGTTTACTGACCACAAAATTTATATCTGGTCGTGTACAAGTGGACAAGTATATTAAACTTCCCACTGCCTCTCTGTATTTCCTTGGGTCTTCCATTTTAGCTCCATCATTTGAGTATTCTAGCTTTGGCTCACATGGAGTGTCTCTGGGTTTACAATCCTCCATTCCAAATCTTTTTAATATTTTGGTCACATAATTTTTCTGTGACATTTTTACTTGTTTCTCTGTTTGGTTAAAGTCTATTCCTAGAAAATGTTTCAATCTTCCTAGATCTTTCATTTTGAACTTTTCATTTAACATCTTCTTTACTCCCTTCAAAACTTCTTCACTATCAGCTGCAATGATGAGGTCATCCACCCATACCAGTAAGATGATCTTTTCACCGTTTGTCTCTCTAGTATACAAGCACTGATCACTAGGATTTTGTTTGTATCCATTTTCACTTAAATACGCAGGAAGTAAAGCATTACAGTTTCTGCTAGATTGTTTTAAACCATACAAGGACTTTTGTAACTTGCAAACAAGTTTTTCTCCTGTGTTAGACGTCTTCTCAAAACCTTCTGGTTGATCTATAAAGATTTCATGATCAATAGGTGCATGCAAATATGCAGTCTTAACATCCATCTGGTGTAGGATTAAATTTTCCTGTGCTGCCTTTTGCATCATCACTCTTACACTTGTCATGTCAGCTGTTGGTGAAAATGTCTCTTCATAGTCAATGCCTTGTTTCTGATTGTAACCTTTCGCTACATACCTTGCATTGTATTTATCAGATCCGTCAACCTCATTTTTTATTGCAAAAACCCATTTACCCCCCACTGTCTTTTTGCCTTGTGGTAGTTGGGTAAGTATGAAAGTTTCATTTTCTTTTAGTGACTGCATTTCCTCTCTCATTGCTTCTTTCCACTGTCTTGAATTAGGAGATGCAATGGCTTCCTTATAGGTCTATGGAATGTCACATACCGCTCTGTAACAGTCATCCACACTCATTTGTAGTTTGTCTCCTATGTCCTCCTCAGTGTCAAAATCCTGTAGGTGCGCTGGTTTCTTTCTGTTTCTTGATAGATTCCTTCTGGTCACAGTCTGTTCAGGTACAACTTCAGAAATGTCACTTTTATCAAGTTCATTTTCAACACTTTCACCATCTTTTTCATCTTTGTCACAAGTTCTGGTATACGCATCATCTTGAACATGCTCTATGCTTTGGTCAGTTTGTGTCACACCTTCTCTTGTTTTCTTTGTTATGAACTTTACCAGTCTATGTTTCTGTATCTTTTCATTGTTTGGATAAAATACTATATATGCTGGGCTGTTCTTGTCATAACCAATGAAAATACCTTGTTCACATCTAGAATCAAACTTGCCCTTCTCCTGCTCGTAAGCATAACACTGTGACCCAAATTTCTGCAGCTTGGACACATCTGGTTGTTTCCCTGAAAACAGTTCATATGGTGTCATATCTGTTCATCTGTTGTAGCATCTGTTTCTCACATAGGCTGCTGCTTGCATAGCATAGTTCCAAAACGTATCTGGTAACTTGCTTTCTAGTAACAGACATCTTCTCATGTCATAGAGGGTTCTCCAACCTCTCTCTGGTGTGGTGAATAAGGTGCTGAAGTTCCATGTCTGACCTTATACTTGGTTAGCATAGCTCTGTATTCTTTGTTTGTAAACTCAGTTCTGTTATCCGAACGAATATACTTCACTCTCCCATAAGGGGCTACATCTGCCAAATATTTCTCTGTGGCTTGAAGTGTGTCAGTTTTGGATTTAAGACAATATACCATAATGATACCAGAATAATCATCTGTAAATGACTGTGTACATATATACCCTTCTATGCTGGGTGTAGACATAGGGTCTGTTAGATCGGTGTGTACTAGTTGTAAAGGTCTGTCAGCCTTTTTGTCTGGTTCTCTGTTTCTAGTCTGGGTGAATTTTCCTTTTGTACATACATCACATAACTGCTCTGGGTTGTTCGTGCTTCCTTTTATCGCCATACCATTAACTAACTTTTGAAGCTTTTGCACATCTTCATAATTACAGTGGTCCAAAATCTCATGCCAAGTCTGTAAATCATGGCACACTTTACACTCATCTGTCTTGAGCTCAACTGTTGGCAAATAATACAGGTTACCACTCTCATATATGTCAAATCTGAATCCATCTTTGTCCATCACGTGACAGTTCCCCTGCTGGAAGGTGATAGTTGCCCCTACATTTGTGGCTCTTGCGACCGAGAAGATCTCTTGTGGATATGACGGCATGTAGAGTGCTTCTCGAAGCTGTGCTCTTTGCTGTCGTCCCTCGTTGTCTAGAAGGTAGATCACCGCAGTTCCTCACTGTTGTGTCATCCCAGTGTATCTGGTTCCATCTGCTAGCTCCACAGAGTGACTTTCAGGCTGGAATGTGCTGTCGAAGCTTATAAACTTTGTGATGTCGTTGACGATGTGTGATGTCGCGCCCGTGTCCACCATAATGCCTTTCTTCTTTACATTGTCTGGTGGCCTGTATTCCTTTGTGTGTTTGGCCTTGAAAAGTCTGTCGTTTTCTTCATCTTGTTCTTCTGATACTTTTCTGGTACTTTCAAATCCCTCCTTTTTCCTGTATACAGATTCATGGTGTGTATTACTTCTGCAGTAGCTGCACCACACCTTCCTGTAACACATTCTTGCTTTGTGTCCCTTTAGTCCACATTTGTAGCACTTCATGTTAGAGTAATCATCTTTTCTGTCGGCAGCGAAGGTTTTGCTTGAGTGTTTGTTTGGTTTTATGTGAGTTTTCATCACATTATCTGTACACTCTACTTTCTTTTTTTTCTGATTCTTCATAGACTCCTTATCTCAATGCTAACGATCTTAGCATAGCTTGCAGAAGTCCCGCTCACTCCGTGCGGCCTTCTTCCCAAAAGAAAACTGTTCTCTGATCGGTTCTCTGCTTCCTGGGCCTATAACCTGTTGAATGGATTGTAGCACAGAGGTGCCATGTCATCTGCTGGTGTTGGTCCACTGTGTTTTCTGAGGTCCAAGGTCAACGCAGCTATAAGAGTTTTCATTATTTTATCATTTTTAACTGTTTCATGATTTCTGCCTTTCTTTCTGTTTACCAACAGCAACAGTAGACATGACACTAATGGAAAGGAAAGGGGACAGGACATACATCATAGATTCACACACAGTACAGACTTAAATAAATTATTATCAGTACATTCAAATTTATACAGACACATCAAAAACAAATGAAAAAATAGGAATAGCCTTTATAGTACTGGAATTTCAAATAAAAACAGGAAAACGAATCACCAACAACTTATCAGTATATACAGGAGAGATGTTAGCAGTTTTATTGGCAGTGCAGTGGGTGGAGGAAGTAAAACCATTAAAAACAATAATCTGTTAAGATTCAAGTTCCACGTTATTGAGCTTAAAACACAATCATTCAGACAGCAGGCCAGATATTTTATTAGAAATATTCCACACATTATTCAGAATACAAAGGATGGGATTAACAGTAACATTGTTGTGGGTACCAGCACACATTGGGATAGAAGGAAACGAGATGGCAGATAAGATGGCAAAGAAGACAACTCAAAATCACATTAACTTCACAGTACATACAAGTAAATCAGAGGTAAAAAGTATCATCAAACAAAAACTGAAGAAAGAATGGCAGAAAAGATGGGATGAAGAAAGACAAGGAAGATGGTTTTATAGGATCAAAAAGACAGTAGGAGAAACAAGAACTGGAAGAAGGTGCAGAAAGGAAGAAAGATTAATGACAAGATTGAGATTTGGACATGCGGGACTTAATTATTCACTATTTCAAATAAAGAAACACAATACAGGAAATTGTGAGCACTGTGGACAGGATGAAACTATACAACATGTTGTACTGGAATGTGAAAAATATGAGCAAGAACGAAGATTTATGAAGAGAGAGTATGAAGAGATTAAAAAAATAGTTTAACATAACAGATGCACTACAACACAACTTAGAGAGCAAACATATACAAATTATAATTAGATATTTTAAGAAAACAAAGTTGATTAATAAAATTTGAAATACATATAGTTTAATCATGCATTTATATAGAATTAGACCATGATGACCCACACTCCATACCAGTGGTGGCGGTAATGCACACCTACAGTTTTTTGCCAACTGCCATTAAACTCATCAAGAAAAAGAAGAAGAAGAAGGAACAGGTGAGTAATTTGGGCAGATGAGAAGCAGCTGAGTCATGTAGAGAAACTACAGGAGCAAAGCAATCCCTGAAGTCATCCACAGAGCAAAACCATCTAACTGACGTACATCTGACTCAGGTAAAACAACTACAAAAACCATAAGAAAAGTACTTACATCTACCAAACTTCCCAGCAATTTAGAGACGTGGTTGGTTATTTTACATGGTAAAAATGGTAAAGCACCAAGTTTAAATAACCTGGGCCTCATGAGAAATATATTGAAGCAAAAACACCATGCGATTTCAAGAAAAGTGTCAATTTTTCTGTTCATGAAAAGTTAAAATTATTGTTCTGCTATCAAATGCATAAAGGGGTGTGCTCCTTTTCATTCTGGATCCCTTTAAGATCATTGATCATTTTATCTGGTTTGTAACTTCATTTCACTCTCATTCTCTCTAGATGTCCTCAATGTCTTTTTAGAGCATCTCACTGACGGCAACAAAGAAATACAGGTGTTACACTAAACTCTCCTTCCATGATCTTATTTCTTTTATTTTAATATACATAGTTTTTTTTTTTGTCCTGGCAAAATTTGTTAACTTGGTCCTGTGACAGCAGTGTGCTTCTTTTTATTGCAGCTTTCTGCTTTTGTCTAATTCATGTATTGGCAGAGGGAGTTGCTGTTTTATTGACTTTGTCAAGCTGTGCATTTGGATGATTCTCCAACTGTTTGCTGGAGCAGGAAATAGAAGTCTTTAAGGAACAACTCTTTTGTGGGGTGTACCGTAGGGGTACATCCTCGGTTCTCTTTTCTTTATACTTGCTGCCACTAGGTGCTCTTTTCCGTAAACACAACATACCCTTTCATCTCTACGCTGATGACTGTCAAATTTACTTCCCGCTGAAGCACAGTGGTGCACGTTCTATTCAACCTCTTCTTGATTGCCTGGCTGACATTAAGGACTGGATGTCCTAAATTTCTTAAGCGTTTTAATGAGAAGAAGACTGAAGTCATGTTGTTCCCTCCCAACGGCACGATCAAGAACAACAGTATCGACTTCTCCAATCTAGCCCCATTAGCGAAACAAAGAGTCGCAAATCTGGGAGTGATAATGGACCCTTACACGAAGCTTAACAGTCATGTAAACATGATTGTTGAATCCTGTTTTTTCCAGATGAGGCGACTTTCTAAGCTGAAGCCCATATTGTCCAAAAATAACCTGGAGACAGTAATACACGGGTTAATAACATCTAGGCTCGATTACTGCAATGTGCTTCTGTTTGGTATCAGTCAGACCTCCATTGCACGACTACAACTTGTCCAAAATTCTGCTCCCCAATTTTTAACTTGTACAAGCCTAAGAGCACATTACACCAGTTTTGGCCTCCCTGCACTGGCTCCTGGTTCACCTTCGAATTCTGTTCAAAATCCTTCTACATGTTTTTAAATCACTGAACATTTCTACCCCCTCTTATCTCACTGATCTTCTTCACCCATATGTCCCACTGCTCTCTTTGAAGTCAGCAGATCAGATGCGTCTTTCAGTTCCACGAACCTGTCATAAGCTCAGAGGTGACAAGGCTTTCTCTGTTGCAGGTCCAAGACTGTGGAATGAGTTACCACTACATGCCAGGCAGGCCCCCTCCCTCACAGTTTTTAAGTCTTGCGTAAAACCCCACTTTTATTCCCAGGCTTTCAACACTGATCTGTTTTGAACCTGTCTGTATTCTACAGTGTTAGCCATATAATTGTTATATTATCCTATTTGTATCTATATTTTTATTTTACTTTATTTGCTGTGTTCTTTGCTTGGTTGTTTTCTGCTGTACAGCACTTTGGTTGGCCTTGTTGCTGTTTTAAGTGCTCTATATAAATAAAGTGGTATGGTAAGTTCACTTTTTCCAATGCTTCAAAACCACATGGTGGACATATTGGCTCATGGTTTCATTATCACAATTGCATAAATTTAAATGTGGGTTTGGATGCCAATACAATAACTCTAAGGAAAATATGTCTTCAAGTACAGCCATTGTTTCATCATAACTTGTACCTTGTTCTGGTAGTGTAGAACAATGTCCCACTGGTTCAGTGTAGTAAAATGACACCATCTTTCGTTTGGCCATGCCTGTCTGTACCAGTGATGAGCCTGTAATTTCAAATTGTAAATGGTTAGGTGGCTCAAAAGCATGATGCAGGAACAGTAGTGAACTCTGTGCTGAAAAGCTCATTCATCAGTTATTTTGATGGGTAAACTCAAATGTTAAATTGTGTTGTCAGGTCAGATGTCATTCCAGAATACTCTTTAGTGTTAATATTCTTCTACATTCAAACACAAAAGCAGTGCTATCTAGTAAGGAGAATAAACCGCATCAGAACAGAATACGACATCATACTTTATGTATATATCTATCCATTTATCAATGTGCAGTCAGGTCGTCTGGACGGTTTCTTTTGTTGCTGAGATGTTTTGTCCTTCATCCAAAATTCTTTAATCTGAGGAGCCACCAAACCAAACTGAATCCCATGAACGGTTCACTCCCAGAGTGGAGAAAAACAGTTTGCTGGTGATAAGATGTCCTACAGGGCCCAACCTTTCCCCATCAACTCCTAAGTCAGCCATGCTACAGTGGTTCAAAACACCAAAGTTGTGTCCAGTCATGTCCAAATGACCTGACTGAACATTGTTGGATTTATACCTAGATTAATGAGAATGAACTTTGGTATTTTGAACCACTTCGGTTTATTCTCATCGAGTCCCCGTGACTCAATGAGACTAACTTGTATAAATAAAGGTTGAATGAACGATCTAAACCTGTACTGACTTATGGTATTTTTTTTATTAATTATTTCTCATTTTAGGTTTCCAATCTATTACTTTTTTTTTTCTTTCTAAAACTTTGGAGAATTGTGGTAACAAAGGTACAGGTCTATAGTGAGAAATTTGATGTTTATCTCTGTTTTTGTATACTGAGATTATTTTGGATATTTTCATTTTTATTGGGAAATACATCAGTTTGAATTGACAGATTGATGAAGAACTAACGGTTTTGAAATCCCCTCAATTACACCTTTTACTAAATGCATATCGATGTCATACGAGCCAGTGGATCATCTTTATATTTTTAACAGTATTAATAATTTATATTTCTGTTACAGTGCAAAGGAACATTGAGTTTGGATTCCTTTCTACTAATTTATCAAACTCTTGTTCAATATTACATGTTTCAGGAATGTTTTTAGACTAATCCAATTCTAGATTTACAAAGTTTATTAAAACTGAACTGTATTTCATTTATATTTTCAGTTCCTTTGTTAAAATAGTTGGGGTATGCTAATTTATTTGTACCATTTTGAAAAATGGAATTTAATATATTCCATCATCGATTCATTTCGTTTCATCTTATATTACTTTATAATATTCAATTCATGCTTGTATCTCTTATAGTTTAGTTTCAGCTTCCTTAGATTTTAGTCTTATGACATTTTTATAAAATTTTCTTTTTATAGTCATGTGTGTGTGAGGCTGAGAGGTTCCGGCTAGAAATAGTCGGACTCACCTCTACGCATGGCTCGGGCTCTGGAACCAGTTTCCTTGAGAGGGGCTGGACACTCTTCCACTCTGGAGTTGCCCCTGGTGAGAGGCGCCGAGCAGGCGTGGGTGTACTTATTGCACCCCAACTTGGTGCCTGTGTATTGGGGTTCACCCCAGTGAATGAGAGGGTGGCCTCCCTCCGCCTACGTGTGGGGGTACGGGTTCTGACTGTCGTTTGTGCTTATGCACCAAGCGGCAGTTCAGATTATCCACCCTTTCTGGAGTCCTTGGAGGGGGTACTGGAAAGTGCACCTTCTGGGGACTCCCTTGTTCTGCTGGGGGACTTCAATGCTCATGTGGGCAATGACAGTGAGACCTGGAGGGGTGTGGTTGGGAGGAACGCCCCCCCTGATCTGAACCAGAGTGGTGTTCTGTTGTTGGACTTCTGTGCTCGTCATGGATTGTCAATAACGAACACCTTGTTCAAGCATAAGGGTGTCCATATGTGCTCTTGGCACCAGGACACCCCAGGCCACAGTTCGATGACCGACTTTGTCATTGTCTCATCTGATCTGCGGCCACACGTCTTGGACACTCGTGTGAAGAGAGGGGCGGAGCTGTCAACTGATCACTACCTGGTGGTGAGTTGGCTCCGATGGTAGGGGAGGATGCCGGTCAGACCTGGCAGACCCAAACGTATTGTGAGGGTTTGCTGGGAACGTCTGGCAGTCTCCTGTGAGACGGAGTTTCAACTCCCACCTCCGGGAGAACTTTGAACATGTTCCGAGGGAGGTGTGGGACATTGAGTCTGAGTGGACCATGTTTCGTGCCTCTATTGTCGAGGCGGCTTACCAGAGCTGCGGCCGCAAGGTTGTCGGTGCCTGTCGCGGCGGCAACCCTCGAACCCGATGGTGGACACCGTCATTGAGGGATGCTGTCAGGCTGAAGAATGAGTCCTATCGGGACTTTTTAGCGTGTGGGACCACGGAAGCAGCTGATGGGTACCGGCAGTCCAAGCGACATGTGGCTCGGGTGGTTGCTGAGGCAAAAACTCTGGCATGGGAGGAGTTCGGAGAGGCCATGGAGAGTGACTTCCGCATGGCTTCGAGACGATTCTGGTCCACCATCCGGTGTCTCAGGGGGGGAAAGTGGTATGCCACCAACACTGTTTATAGTGAGAGTGGCGTGCTGCTGACCTCAACTCGGGATGTTGCGGGTCGATGGGCAGAATACTTTGAAGACCTCCTCAATCCCGCCGGCACGTCTTCCACTGAGGAAGCAGAGCCTGGGGACTCTGCGTCTGGCCCTCCAATCTCTGGTGCTGAGGTCACCGAGGTGGTTAAAAAGCTCCTCGGTGGCAGGGCCCCAGGGATGGATGAGATTCGCCCAGAGTTCCTTAAGGCTCTGGATATTGTAGGGTTGTGTTGGCTTACGCGACTCTGCAATATTGCGTGGACATCGGGGGAAGTTCCCCTGGATTGGCAGACTGGGGTGGTGGTCCCCCTATTCAAAAAGGGGGACCGTAGAGTGTGTTCCAACTACAGGGGAATCACACTCTTAAGCCTCCCTGGTAAGGTCTTTTCGGGGCTCTGGAGAGGAGGGTCCATCGGATAGTCAAACCTCAGATTCAGGAGGAGCAGTGCGGTTTTCGTCCTGGCCGTGGAACACTGGACCAGCTCTACACTCTCAGCAGGGTCCTGGAGGGTGCGTGGGAGTTTGCCCAACCAGTCTGCATGTGCTTTGTGGACTTGGAGAAGGCGTTCGACAGCGTCCCTCGGGGGGCCCTGTGTGGGGTACTCTGGGAGTATGGGGTACCGGGCCCTTTGATACGGGCTGTTAGGTCCCTGTATGACCGGTGCCAGAGCCTGGTCCGCATCGCCGGCAGTAAGTCGGGATTGTTCCCTGTAAGAGTTGGACTCCGCCAAGGTTGCCCTTTGTCACAGATTCTGTTCAAAACTTTTATGGACAGAATTTCTAGGTGCAGCCAAGGTGTTGAGGGGATCCATTTTGGTGGCCTTAGGATTGCATCTCTGCTTTTTGCAGATGATGTGGTCTTATTGGCTTCATCAGATCATGATCTACAGCTTTCGCTGGAGCGGTTCGCAGCCGAATGCGACAGGGCCGGGATGAAGATCAGTTCCTCCAAATCCGAGGCCATGGTCTTGAGCCGGAAAAGGGTAGAGTGCCCTCTCCGGGTCAGGGAGGAGGTCCTACCCCAAGTGGAGGAGTTCAAGTATCTTGGGGTCTTGTTCACGAATGAGGGAAAAATGGAGCGTGAGATCGATAGGCGGATAGGTGCAGCGTCTGCAGTGAAGCGGGCGCTGTACAGGTCTGTCGTGGTGAAGAGAGAGCTGAGTCAAAAGGCGAAGCTGTCAATTTACCGATCGATCTACGTTCCCACCCTCATCTATGGTCACGAGCTTTGGGTTGTGACCGAAAGAATGAGATCTCGGATACAAGTGGCCGAAAAGAGTTTTCTCCGCAGGGTGTCTGGGCTCTCCCTTAGAGACAGGGTGAGAAGCTCGATCATCCGGGAGGAACTCGGAGTAGAGCCGCTGCTTCTCCACGTCGAGAGGAGCCAGTTGAGGTGGCTTGGGCATCTGTTTAGGATGCCTTCTGGACGCCTCCCTCGTGAGGTGTTCCGGACACGTCCCACTGGAAGGAGGCCCAGAGGAAGACCCAGGACACGCTGGAGGGACTATGTTTCTCGGCTGGCCTGGGAACGCCTCGGGATTCCCCCGGAGGAGCTGGCCCAAGTGGCTGGGGAGAGGGAAGTCTGGGCCTCCCTACTTAGGCTGCTACCCCCGCGACCCGACCCCGGATAAGCGGAAGAAAATGGATGGATGGATGGTCATTATGTAAACCTTCAGTCATCCTAGGACATCTTCTGTACTTTTTGTAGTTATAGATTTTCAGTGGACAATGCTTATCAAATAATGTGACAAATATGTAAGTTGCATCCAAGCATGTCTCTCCATCCTTCTACTTCAGGTCAAAATGTCTGCTGTAAAAAAAAAAAGCTTAATGTGTTGTTGTTGGGGTCAAATTGCATATAAGACTGTCAATTTATTTTTTAAATTTTTTTCACAAGGACTTGGAGAAGCTGCTGGGAGTCTGAATGAATATTAAAAACATGGTCATCTGTGAACATGATGTCTTTTCAGAGCATAATCTTGTCGTCGTCTTCTTCTTTTGGCTTTTCCCTCTTCAGGGGTTGCCACAGCGAGTCATCCTCCTCCACCTCACTCTGTCCTCTGCATCCTCTGTCCTCACTCCAACTACCTTCATGTCCCTCTCATATATCTCCTTTGGCCTTCCTCTGTCTTTTTCCTGGCAGCTGCATTTCTAACATCCTTCTACCAATATACCCACGGTCCCTCCTCATGACCTGTCCAAACCATCTCAGTCTGGCCTCCCTAACTTTATCTCCCAGTTGTTCAACCTGTGCTGTACCTCTGATCTCATTCTTAATCTTATCAAGCCTTGTCACTCCTAAGGAGAACCTCAACAGCTTCATTTCTGCCACTTCCAGTTCTTCTGTCTTTTTGTCAATGCCACTGTCTCCAGACCATACAATATAGCTGGTCTCACCACTGTCTTGTAAACTTTTCCTTTGACCTTTGCTGACACCTTTTTGTCACAAATCACTCCTGAAACTTTTCTCCATGAATTCCATCCTGCCTGGACTCTCTTCTTCACCTCTTTACTACATTCCCCATTTGCCTGGACAGTAAATCCCAAGTACTTGAAGTCCTGCACCTTTGTGACCTCTTCTCCTTGTAGCCTCACTGTTCCACCGGCCTCCCTCTAATTTACACACATGTACTCTGTCTTACTACGGCTGACTTTCATTCCTCTTCTTTCAAGTGCATACCTCCACTTCAAGTTCTCTTCCACCTGTTCCAACCACAGATCACAATGTCATCTGCAAACATCATCGTCCATAAGGATTCTTGCCTGACCTCATCTGTTAGTCGGTCCATCACCAGAGCAAACAAGAAGGGGCTCAGAGCCAATCCTTGATGCACTCCCACCTCCACCTTGAAGCCATCTGTCATTCCTACAGCACATCTCACCACTGTCCTGCTGTCCTCATACATGTCCTGTACCAGTCTAACATACTTTTCTGCCACTCCAGATTTCCTCATGCAATACCACACCTCCTCTCTTGGTACCATGTCATATGCTTTTTCTTAATCCACAAAGACACAATAGAGTTCTTTCTGACCCTCTCTGTACTTCTCCATCAGCATTCTCAAAGCAACCAAGTCTTGCTTCCACAACTCTCTCCCAGATCTTCATCGTATGGCTCATCAACTTAATTCCTCTGTAGTTTCTACAACTTTGTACATCACCCTTGTTCTTAAAATTTGCCACCAGTGCACTTCTTCGTTCCTGAGGCATTTTCTCACCCTCATATATGCCATTGAATATTTGAGTCAAAAACCTCACTGCCATCTCTCCAAGACATTTCCAAACCTCCACTCTTATGTCATCAGGTCCTACTGCCTTCCCCTTCTTCATTCTTTTCAGAGTTTTCCGGACTTCACCCTCACTAATCTTTCCCACTTCCTGGTCCACAGTTTCTATGACCTCTACTATTCTTTCTCTTTCATTCTCTTCATTCATTAGCTCCTCAAAGTACTCCTTCCATCTTCCCGTCACACTCTCCTCACTTGGTAGAACATTACCATTCCTATCTTTAATAAGCCTAACCTGCTGCACATCCTTTCCAGCCTGATCCCTCTGTCTTGCCAATCTGTATAAGTCCTTGTTGCCCTCTTTAGTGTCCAGTCTCTCATACAACTCATCGTACGTCCTGCTTTGCCTTAGCTACTTTCCTCTTTGCTCTACGTCCCATCTCCTTATATTCCAGTCTCCTCTCTTCGGTCCTCTCACTGTCATATTTTTTCTTGCCTAATCTTTCTTTGAACGGTGTCCTGCACTTCACTATTCCACCACCAGGTTTCCTTATCATCCATTCTCTGTCCAGATGACACACACCAAGTACCTTCCTACCTGTTTCTATAATTACTGTTGTTGTAGTAGCCCAGTCATTTGGAAGCTCTTTCTTACTACCCAGAGCCTTTAACAGCTCCTCTCTGAATTTCTCACAATATTCTTCCTTCTTCAGCTTCCACCATTTGGTCTTCTCCGATTTTACTCTTTTTTTTTTTTTTTTTTTTCCCTCTTCTTCACAACAGTCATTCTACACACAACCATCCGATGCTGTCTGGCCACTCTCTCCCCTGCCATGACCTTACAGTCCCCAATCTCCCTCAGGTTTCCTCTTCTACACAGAATGTAGTCGACCTGCGTACTCCTTCCTCCACTCTTAAAGGTCACTCTATGTTCTTCCCTCTTTTGGAAATGGGTTGACTATAGCCATTCCATTCTCTTGGCAAAATATACCACCATCTGTCCTTCCTGGTTTCTTTCCTTGACACCAAACCTACCCATCACTTCCTCATTTCCTCCGTTTCCTTCACCAACATGTCCATTCAGGTCTGCTCCGATCACCACTCTCTCCTCCCTGGGAATACTCTATCACTTCATCCAGATCTTTCCAAAATGTATCTTTCTCCTCCTAATCACATCCAACCTGTGGAGCATAAGCATTGACGATGTTTAGCATCAGACCTTCTCCTTCTACCTTCAGGCACATCACCCTATCTGACACGCTTCTCACCTCTACTACATTCTTTACCAACTTCTCCTTCAGGACCACCCCTACTCAATTTCTCTTTCTATCCACACCATGGTAAAACTGTTTGAACCCTGCTCCAATTCTGCAAGCCTTGCTGCTCTTCCACTTGGTTTCTTGGACACATAAAACATCTATCTTTTTTCTCTGCATCATGTCAGCCAGCTCTCTACATTTTCCTGTCATTGTCCCCACATTTAGAGTTGCAACCCTCAGTCCTACATTCTTCCCTTTCCTATTCTCCCTCTGTCCTGACATGTTTCCCTCCTCGTGGTCTTCGACTAACAGTAACACAATTTCTGCTGGCACCCTGTTTGTCAACAGCACCGGCGACGGTCGTTGTTATCCCGGGCCTCGACCGATCCAGTATGGTTTTGCTTTGATGAACTCGCATTATTGTTTTGGCAAAAGTGTTTTACATCGGATGGCATTCCTGACACAACCCTCACCATTTACCCAGGCTTGGGACCGGCACACGAGATACACTGGTTGTATCAGTACAGTGGCTGGTTTCAGAGCGTAATCTTGTGTCCTGCAATAATAGAAATGACAAAGAACTGTTTGCTGTTGGCAGAGACAGACCTAGTTTGCCGACTGTCCAAGCTGTAATACTATGTTTGTCAATTTCAATTTTCTACTGCTTTCACATCTTTTTTTAATTAATATGTTGACAAATGTCAACATTTGTCGTTACTGTGGATTCTTCACCAGTCATGTCATGTTAAAAAAAGTAATTGTAGAGAATTGACTTGACCTCCATTCTAAGTTTCTGAAAAATATTGAATTATCATCTGGGAGGCCTCATTAGTTGTAACTGATGGGGAGTTTAAAGTTTATCAATGTGTCAATATTATATCAAAAAATTACAAATGTGAACAATTTTGTGTGTAACAAATGCAACAAAAGTGTAAGTTCAATTTAGACTATACTAATTGCTAAGTTTAAAATTGTAAATTTTATTTTAATAATATTGAACTGACTGTATGCTCCAGGTTTTGTGACATTGGATTATCTATCTAATATATGTCTTTCTGTGTTTTGTTTTGTGTTTTTTTTTTTCCTTCAGGTTGGGATTCTGCAATGGGAAAGACAAATTACTTAATAAAGAAGGTCTTCATTATTATAACCATCTCCATATTAATCTGTCTACTCATCTTTAATGTGACATCACCCAAAGCAGATGGGTCAAGCCTGACACCTCATGGGCCTTCACTAGTTTGCCCATCAAAAATCTCTGACCAGACCATCACTCCTCTCAAAAATACTAAACATTTACTGGTCTCGGCCTTCATGGATCAAAGAGTGCCTGGTTTCGACATACGCATCATTGGCATGTTTGAAAGAGACTCCATCCAGCCACTCCACTGCCTTTTCTGCTGTGTTGGACATTTAGGTGAAACCACTCCAACAAATGTTTTAGTACACACAGACCACTTTGATTTTCCCTTTGCTGCTACAGACATCATGTGTCAAATTCCCCCAAACTGTGATGCTACACATGTGACTCTTCTGACGGAGCCCATTGTGGAAAATGAACCTACTCTCACTTGGATTCCTATAAGAAACAAGAAAACCAACGAAAAAATTAAAAAGATGAACTTCACAGTCTGCATTTCCAGTCTGTTTGGAGAATACAACAATGTGCTTCAGTATACACAAAGTCTGGAAATGTACAGGTCAGTAAATCTACACACTAAACCAAATTATTACATTTGTGCAAAGTGAAGCTTCTGAAGTATATCATCGATCTGTGGTCTAGTGTCCTGGTTCCATGTGTACTTATAGACACTTTTGTCCTAATATGATGTTTGTGGTGGACAAACCATGACTAGAACAGAAGTCCAACAACAAAACATTGCTTAGGTTCAGATCAGAGATGCAGTTCCTCCCAAACATGCATCTCCCCTTTATAATCCGTCACCACACATGTGGGCATTGATGTCCCCAGTAGAATAATGGTCTCCTTCACCACTAAATCCAACTTGCCACCGAGTTGAACTGTTGTCAACTCTGCTAGTCCCTTTACTGAATTGGTGAAGATAGAAAGTCTAAGGTCTGTGGAAACCATTCAAAATCAGTCATCAATCTTTGGCCTACGATAGTCTGGTTCCAAAAACGTGTATTAACCACACTGAACATGTTTAATATGGACATCTCACACTTAGCACAGAACTCTAATAACAAAACACTTTACTCTGGTTCATTTTGAGGAGGCCATTCTTCCCAATCGCTCTTCTCCAAGTGCGATCCTTCTCATAATGAGAAGTAAAAGCTACCACCAAATGATGTGCCAAAGAAATTATGAAAAACTAAAACATAATTTGTAACAATGAAGAGGAATCAGATTTTCAGATTTTCTTTTTTTTTTTTTTTTTTTTTTCAAGGTTGCTTGGCGTAAACAGAGTGGTAATCTACAACACCAGCTGTGGCCCAGATCTTGACCGTCTTCTGCAGAGTTACACCCAAGAAGGATTTCTGGAAATAGTTCCCTGGCCCATCGACAAACACCTGATTCCATCTCGTGGTTGGCTTTATGCAGAACATGGAGGTGATATACACTACTTTGGCCAGCTCGCCACACTCAACGAGTGCATTTACAGATACATGGAGCGTTCGCGCTACATCCTGTTAAATGACATGGATGAGATCATCATGCCATATCAACACAACAACCTGATGTCTCTGATGGACACACTGCAAAAACAACATCCAAATGTAGGTTGTTCCTGTCATGCATATTTTAAATATACACTTTATTTTCTTAACAAATTTTCTTTCTTCAGGTTGGTGTGTATAGCATTGAGACTCATATCTTTCCCAAGGAGCACTTCGAGCCAAGTGGAAGGTTTCATCTTCCTCAATGGAGCGGGGTGCCAGGAGTTAATATTCTGGAGCACATTTACCGAGAAGATCCTGACAGACATAGATTTCATCGTTACAAGTTGATTGTTCAACCAAGGTAAGCTGAAACCCCTATTTAGTGGTCTATTTGAATTATTGCCTTCTGCCAAAAGGGGAAAGGCAGGCATTATTTCAACTCTCTTCTGTGTGCCTGCATCACAGGATGGTGGAGCAGACCTCAGTGCATGAAGTAATTAAGAATTTTGGAGAACAATATATAGTTCCATCAGAAGTCAGCCGGATCATTCACGTTTGTTTGGGCGGGACCATACCTCTGGAGCTGCATCATGAAGACAAACGTCTGTGGGACTTCCATGAAAAACTGATTCCTAATGTGGACAAGGTGCTGAAGAGAGTGGGGATGATGATGTCAAAGAATTGAAGAGGATTTATGGGAAGAACCAACAGTGTTAAACTGGCACCAGGTCCTCTATTAAAAAAATGTGCCTCCTCTATGGAGGCTTTTAAAACACATTTTGGCTTCTCATTACATTTGAAGGTTTGTGTCTTAAGTTGATCTATTGTAGTAATTTTTAACTTGCAAGGGCATAATGGTACATTTAGTCATAACAGTGTCACATTATAGATATCTGGCCCAGGTAAAGAAAACAAAGCAGAGAAGTCACATGTCGCATGTAATCACTGCTCACGTTTTAAGGAAGGCACATGTCTTTTTTTTTTTTTTTTTTTTTTTTTTTTTTTTAACTGCATCAACAAAAAAGGTGTAGGAACCTCTCTGCACTGTAAAAAAAATAAGAAGTTGGCAGAACTCAAAATTCTAAGGCAACAAACTTCAGGGCATTTCTAAGTTTTGGACTTCAACTTAACTATTTAAGTTTTGCTTTTAAGTTTGCCAAACTTTGATTTCTACGTTTTTTTGTAACTCAACCAAAAGTTGTAGAGACTTGCTTTTGGGTTGTAAGAACTTTGAATCCTGAGTTTTCTAATTCACATGATGAAAGTAGCAGTAACTTAAAAGTTTGTACAAACTATGAATTTCATATTTAACTCTATTACAGTTTGCAGATACCTACAATTACAGATTCTGACAACTATAAATCCTGATTACTCTCAACTTGAGTTGTAGTAACTTTAATTCTAACATTGCAGCAACATTATTTTTCTTTCTCCACTCTACTTAACGAAGTACTTAAAATTTTACATAAGTACAACTGTGAATCATGACATTTGCCAAGTCAAAAGTAAGTTGTATTTACTTTTTTTTTAAATTCCTAATGGATCATCATGGAATTCCCAACACACCAATTTGTTCTTCATAATTACTCAAAAGATTTACTTATTACAAAAAATAATTAAACTTTTTGTGGCTGAAATTACTGACCTCTTTAAAATGATACACCTACAGTAAGTACTGGTTCCTAATGAGCGAAGAGCAGAAAATTATCACCAAAGCAGCATCTACATTCAAACTGTTTTTTATCTTTTGTCACACTCCTTGTTTTCTGAATGAGATTTTTAGGATGTTCAGTAAACACAATGAAAACAATATGGAGCATAAACCTGACCTAAACGGGTACAAAACCAGTTTGATATGAAACTGCTCAACAAAACTGAGACAGGGGAAGGCCCAGGAAATGGTCAAAGTACAAGATCACTTCTCCGTGGAACTTGAGATGAGTATTGGGTTGAAAGATACAGAACCTTTTGACACAACTTCTACAAAACCTACTTCTGAGGTTCATGATTAGTGATATAAAGATGTTAATATGAACACTCAAGCAACACTTGCAAGTCATCTAAAGGGATAGACCTACTGAAACTAAAACATTAAGTCCAGTTCAAACTGGAGTTCCTACTATAGTTTACATTAAAGCATGACGATCCAAGGAAACTGTTGTTTCTTCTGTATAAACACCTTTAAACTGTCAAAGAATAAGAGAACTCTATACTTGAGAATACCCACATTAAAGATAATCCCCCCCACACCACCAAAAAAAAAGGGAAAAAATGTGAATGTAAACCAAATCCCATCAGCTCTCTTGCTGGATTCACTTAAGAAGTCTGTTTTTGAGGGATCTGACCCTTGTAGAGGGATTTATCCCAAGCCCCATAAAAATCTTCTGAATGGTTTCAAAGGTGTACCTCAGATCTTTTGGGAATTGGAAGGTTTAAAGTTTAGATCAGGGCAGCACGGTGGCGCAACTGGTAGAGCTGCTGCCGCTCAGCGAGCAGGTCCTTGGTTCAAACCCCGGTCCAGGGGCCATTCTGGGTGGAGTTTGTATGTTCTCTCTGTGCATGCGTGGGTTTTCTCCAGGTACTCCAGTTTCCTCCCACAGACCAAAAACATGCATGTTAGGCTGATTGGTAACTCTAAATTGTCCCTAGGTGAATGAGAGAGTGAATGGTTGTTTGTCTCGTTTGTCTCTATGTGGCCCTGTGATGGACTTGCGACCCGTCCATGGTGTACCACACCCCTCGCACAGTGATTGCTGGACATGGGCACCAGTGACCCCCGTGACCCAAAATGGAATAAGCGGGTAAAGATAATGAATGAATGGATGGATGGATGGATGGATGGATGGATGGATGGTTGGATAGTCCTGAATCAAACTAAATATATAGGAATAAATATTTTTCATATTAGTCCTGCAGTTGCTATTCCTGTTGTTCCACCATGGGTCCTTGGACAAATCAAAGTTGATTTAAATTTATTGAAACGAGGGAGAGAATTAGAAAATATTGAGGTGGAAAGATATATAGGAAGGGAATACTCAGAATATATCAAGATTTGTACTGATGCATCTAAAATGTTAAATAGCAGAACTGGTATATCTTTGGTAATTCCAGAAATAAATATTATGAAAAAAAAAAAAGAATAACTGACAATTCAACAGTATATACCGTGGAATTATTGGCAATATTTATGGCTTTCGAGTGGGTTGAAGAAATTAGAGGAAAAAAGGTTTTAGTTTGTTCAGATTCAAGTGGTGCATTAATAAGTATTCAGGAGGTACATTCAGATACAAGACGAGATATTATACTGGAAATAGCTCAACTAATTTTTCAGGATTAATAAATATGGGTCAGAGGTTAAACTAATATGGATTCCTGCACACATCGGAATAAGAAGAAATGAGTTGGCTAACCGTTTTGCTAAAAGTACTACAAGAATTTTTTTTGTGTGGATTTAAACATTAAAATAAGTAGAAACGAGGTTAAGACTATAATAGTTGTATATTAAGAAGAAATGGCAAGAGCATTGGGATAATGGAGACAATGCTAGATTTTATTATAATCAAAGAAAGGTGGGGGAATTCAGGAAATGTAATAGAACAAAAAAGAAGATATTATTAAAGGATGAGATTTGGTCACACGGGATTAAACAGCACACTGAAAATAATCAATAAATATGTTACGGGCTGTTGTGATCATTGTGGACAATTGGAAACAAAACATATTTTCTTACAAACCGGATTCCAAAAAAGTTGGGACACTAAACAAATTGTGAATAAAAACTGAATGCAATGATGTGGAGATGGCAAATGTCAATATTTTATTCGTAATAGATGACAGATCAAAAGTTTAATCTGAGTAAATGTAACATTTTAAAGGAAAAATATGTTGATTCAAAATTTCAGTGTCAACAAATCCCAAAAAAGTTGGGACAAGTAGCAATAAGTGGCTGGAAAAAGGAAATTGAGCATATAACAAACAGCTGGAAGACCAACTAACACTAATTGGGTCAATTGACAACATGATTGGGTACAAAAAGAGCTTCTCAGCGTGTCAGTGTCTCAGAAGCCAAGATGGTAAGAGGATCACCAATTCCACCATTGTTGCACAGAAAGATAGTGCAGCAATACCAGAATGGTGTTACCCAGAGTAAAATAGCAAAGACTTTTAAGTTATCATCATCAACCGTGCATAACATCAAAAGATTCAGAGAATCTGGAACAATCGCTGTGCGTAAGGGTCAGTGCCGTAAAACTCTACTGGATGCTCGTGATCTCCGGGCCCTTAAAAGTCACTGCACCTCAAACAGGAAAGCCACTGTCAAGGAAATAACAGAATGGGCTCAGGAATACTTCCAGAAAGCATTGTCAGTGAACACAATCCACCGTGCCATCCGCCGTTGCCAGCTGAAACTCTACAGTGCAAAGAGGAAGCCATTTCTAAGCAAGCTCCACAAGCTCAGACGTTTGCACTGGGCCAGGGGTCATTTAAAATGGAGTGTGGCAAAATGGAAGACTGTTCTGTGGTCAGATGAGTCACGGTTTGAAGTTCTTTATGGAACACTGGGACGCCATGTCATCCGGACCAGAGAGGAAAAGGATAGCCCAAGTTGTTATCAACGCTCCGTTCAGAAGCCTGCATCACTGATGGTATGGGGTTGCATGAGCGCTTGTGGCATGGGCAGCTAGTATGTCTGGAAAGGCACCATTAATGCAGAGAACTATGTTCAGGTTCTAGAACAACATATGCTCCCATCTAGACGTCATCTCTTTCAGGGAAGACCCTGCATTTTTCAACACGATAATGCCAGACCACATTCTGCAGCAATCACAACATCATGGCTACGTAGGAGAAGGATCCGGGTACTGAAATGGCCAGCCTGCAGTCCAGATCTTTCACCTATAGAGAACATTTGGCACATCATAACGAGGAAGGTGCAACAAAGAAGGCCCAAGACGATTGAACAGTTAGAGGCCTGTATTAGACATGAATGGGAGAGCATTCCTATTTCTAAACTTGAGAAACTGGTCTCCTCTGTCCCCAGACGTCTGTTGAGTGTTGTAAGAAGAAGGGGGGATGCCACACAGTGGTAAAAATGGACTTGTCCCAACTTTTTTGGGATTTGTTGATGCCATGAAATTTGGAAACAACAGATTTTTCCCTTAAAATGATACATTCTCTCAGTTTAAACTTTTGATCTGTGATTTGTGTTCTATTCTGAATAAAATATTAGATGTTGGCACCTCCACATCATTGCATTCAGTTTTTAGTCACAATTTGTTTAGTGTCCCAACTTTTTTGGAATCCGTTTTGTAGAATGCAAATAATATACAAAGGAAAGAGAGGTATTGACGTACATAAAAATAAAAGTAAGTTAGAGATAAAGGAATTGCTGCAAAGACCATCAGGGGATAAAATTTTTACCAGCATATTTGAGAAGAACATGTAATTTAGAAAGGATATATTGTGTAAAATAGTGTAGAGTGGTATAGCATCTTGTCCATACTCCAATCCAGAAGGTGGCGGTAATGCACCTAAAAGTTGTTTGCCAACCGCCATAAAAAGACAAGAAGAAAAAAAGTTAAGTAGAACATAAAACTTCAATAAACAAAAGACTGATGTGGAATCAATAGAAAACAACTTGTATAACAAAGAGAACAATGTGGAACTATAGAGAAAAAGCAATTAACTAAACATCAAACTGTTAAGAAAC